CGCTCCAGCCCCACTCACAAACCTGCCCCGCAGACAGCCCCACACCTGGACCCCAGCCCCAACAGCTGCCCCACATCATGACTCCAGCACCTCTCCATCCCACGTACAGCCCCCCAGCCCCACCTGCAGCTCCCCCGCCTCATACCCTGTGCCCCAGCCCTGCCCAAGGCCCCTACACCCACTCACACTTCTGCCTGGTGACATTGTGGAGGATCTCGATGCCCTTGGTGCTGCAGTGGCCATGAGCTGTGCAGTTTGGAGAGGGTCCCTGTCCCATAGAGGCCATCTGCAGGGAGAGGATGGGCTGCAGCTGGCTCCACACTGACCTCAGCCAGCTTCTGCCTACCCCTCAGCCTCTGTGGGATTGTTTGGTGGCCCCAGCAGAGCCACAGGCTCCTCACCTGTGGGGATTCAGGGCCACACCAGACACGGATGAGGCTCCGGTTGCGCAGGCTCTCGTCCCCTGTTGCGATGCCTGTGATCACTGACTTGTCCAGCTGTAACAATATACACATTGGAGAGGGCCCTTGAGGCTCACAGCACCCACAGCTTGGGGATATCTTCACTAGGATGGGGACACCACTGCCAGGTTGTGAACACTTGAACACAACCAACACCAGTGCTGTGGACATCACAACCCATCAATGCTGGGGGACCACCACCAGCCTGGAGACACCACACTGGCAGACACAACAGCTGAGGAGACCTGGATGATGAGTTTGGTGAAGGGCTCTGTGATGATCTTCAGCAGGTCTGGGGCATCCTTCCCGCTGCGGATGTTGAAGGTGGCCACAACCAGGCGGGTGACGTGGTGCAGGTACCCAGTCACCACTTCCAGTGGCAGCAGGACCAGCACTGACAGCCAGTTGAAGCAGTCATGCACTGTGGCACCAGCAAAGGCACTGTGCAGAGAGAAGGAGCCCATTGGCATGGGGTAGCCCTGGAGAACAGCCCCCAAGTGTCCTCTGACCCAAGCAGCTCTCACCGTTTGAACTCACTGCGGTCACCAGCCTGCATGAGGGCCACAATGGTGTTGGTGACGGACGTGCCAATGTTGGAGCCCATGATGATGGGGATGGCAGAGCGCACTTCCAGCACTGGGGACAGAGTCACCTGCTAGCCTTGCATGGCCTGGCTCAGGGTGACCCTATCTAGCCACCCTGTCCCCCAGCCTCCGTCCCTGGGAGCCTTGTGGGCACACTCACACCCTGAGGAGACCATGCTGACAATGATGGAGGTGGAGGTGGAGGAGCTCTGCACCAGCACGGTCCACCACCCCCAGCCCAGCCACAGGGTTGGAGAGGATGGCATTGTCCTTGAAGATGTCCCCAGCCACCTTGCCTGCAAGAGAATGTGGGTGCCAGGCTGCTGGCACTGCAGGTGCCACCAGCCTCCCAGGTGTCCCCACTGCCCTACTACCTCCAGCCAGCTGGAAGGCAGAACTGAGCACATCCAGGGAGCACACGAAGAGGTACAAGAACCCAAACATCAGGGGCACCTTGAGAAGGGAGACACAGAAGGACTGGACCCTGGCCCAGCACCCGAGCTCTGTGCAAGACAAGAGAGAGTGTTAAACACCAACTGTGATATGGCCCTGGCTCCCCAGGTTCCCACAGCCCTGCAGCATCCTCCTGGCCCCCAGGAGCATGGGGCTTGTGTTTCCAGCTATGCCACCACTCTCTGAACCTCCTACATTTCCTCCCAACCTGGAACATCTTGTGCCAACTGCCCCCATTGCCCCTCAACTCTCCCCATGTCAGCCCAAGCAGATGAAGGTCACCTCACATCCCTCTCCCCCTCCTGGCACCCCACAGTCCTGGCACACTGAGCCCCCCTGGGTGCTTCTGGGGTGTGCCCACCAACTGTGGGGTCTCACCTGGCTTCTGCAGCTCATCCAAGCCCAGACAGGGCCCTTGCCAGGGCAGTGCATCCAGCTCGTATCGCTCCCTGCCCTCGCGCAGGCGCCCGGGGGAGCCGGGGCAGGGGA